AAAGGCTAGGGAAAAGAGAGGGAGAGTATGACTTCAAAGCAATGTGACAAGGGATTTCCTATGTGATGACAATACAGTTCTGTATCCTGATTATAATGATAGTTATATGAATCTATGTATGTGATAAAATATCATAGAGGTGTACACAAAGACATACCAAAAAAAAGTGGTGGAATCTGAGTAAGGTTTATAAGCAAATTGTATTTTGCCAACCAACTTCCTAGTTATATAAAATATAGTCATTTATAAAATATAGTTATATAAAATGTCACCACTGGGGGAACTGTGTGATGGGTGCACAGACCTTTCTGCACTATTTTTAAAACTTCTTGTGAGTCTATAATTATTTCAAAATAAGTTAAAAAGGAAAGAGTGGGGATAGAAAATGGGGGAAGAAGAGGAAAACAATGAAGTTCAGATCTAGGCTATCTAGTCTAAAAAAACAGTGAAGTATTTCAGAGAAGGAGTTAACCTCCCATGTGAAATAATGAGTACCAAAAAACTCATTTTTTAAGCAGACACAAAACATGAAACAGTTTTCAAGACATTAAATTTCAGGCAATGAAAGAAAGTGATCACCTAGAAATGGGAAACAAATGTGCTTACTCCCTGCTTACTCCCTTGAAGGAATCTCCAGGCTACTATACAGGGGGAGGGAACTACTATGGAGTCTAGCTGGCTCCCTGAGTTGAGATTAAGATGAGAGTCCACAGAGACCAAGATAGAGTTTATAGGACAAAAATGCCAGAGGGAGCCGGGCTCTGTGGCTCAGCCTGTAATCCCGCGCCTTTGGGAGGCTGAGGTGAGTGGATTGCCTGAGCCCGCGGGTTCGAGACCCGCCTGGGCAGCAAGACCTCATCTCTACAATAAATCAAAAAAATCAGCCGGGCATGGTAGCGCATGCCTGTAATTCCGGCTACTGGGAAGGCTGAGGCGGAAGGATCGCCGGAGACCAGCAGGTCGAGGCTGCGGTGGCCGGGAGCGGCCACTGCACTCCAGTCTGGGTGACAGAGTGAGACTCCAACTCAAAAAAAAAAAAAAAAAAAGCCAGAGGGAATAGAGCCTGACATTCAAACGCATCAAGACATAATGCCTGTTCTACCCACCAGACTTGGGGGGATTGGGGCGGGGATATGCACGGGGCATTGGGTAGAGGACCTAGTAGTGAGAAATAGCCCTAAACTGTGCACCACTCTTGAACTGCCTAAGAGATCATAAAAGCTAGAAATGAAAGGCTTAAACTGTTTCCAAGTAACTTAACTGCATCCTGAACAAAGATTTACAGGAATAATGCAAAAGTATCTAGCACCCATCAAAGTAAAATTCACAATGTCTAGCATCCAATCAGAGATTATCAGACATGCAAATAGACAAGAAAACATGACTTATAATGAAGAGAATAATTGACTGAAGTCAACCCAAAACTAACACAGATATCAGAATTAGCAGAGAAGAAAAATACAAAGTTATTGTAGCTGTATTCCACATGTTTAAAAAGTTAAGACATGGAAGATGTAAAAATGATCAAAACTGAATTTCTATAAATGAAAACCATAATGTCTGAGATGAAAAATGCAGTGATTGGAATTATACATTGCAAAAGCAAAGATCTGAAGAGTCTATAAGATTATTTCTTGGGCTGAACTGATTGTGTACTTACTCAATGCCTAGAGTACTGCTGGCTTAATTACTATTCAAGATATTTGAGAGAAAATTTAATAGACGAGCACCATTAAAACTAGCTGAGAAATTTTGTTTTGCCAGTAAAGAATTATTGTCAAGATATCTTAGGTTGCCCTTCCATTGAGAGAAGACTAAATAGTTAAAGAATGTTGACAAAATTAAAATATTTGTTATGGAATTGTGAGTGGTGTTAGAGGTTTTGTTTATGAAATGTATGTATGAAAAATAATATTTCAGATTAATTATTTTCATGTTATTTCATAAGTGCAGGTATTGTCCTAGTCAGCTGGTATGCTTTGTGAGGGCATTGTGTGGCATGTCTTTTAACATCTTTTGAACCTTCCTAAAATACTTAGCAAGGCACTTCCCATAGTGGGTGGTCTGTAGTGTTTGTAATATGAAAAAGAATCCTCCAACCCTGAGGCATTGAAGTTGAATCTGCTGTTAGTAAGGCAGCAGCAGAAATATGCCTCTGAACCAAATGTAAATAAACAAAGACTGTTATGGGATTAGGAGTGGGAGTGGGAGTGAGGAGGGAGGCAAGAAGAAGCTCACCTTACCAAGAAGCTTTTTAATCTTATTTTTAAACAAGAGAATTACATTCTGCAAATTACTCCCTGGAGCCCTATCTTTGCTGATAGCTAGTGCTGATTAGATCAGCTGCATTTTGTGTTAAATAAAAAGAACATGGAGAGTCATATGTTTCAGTAGATTTGGGCAAGGTTTTAGAGTGCAAATTAGAGTTAAACACATGCCCCCAGAAAGCCTTTCCTCCCACTTAATTGGAGCCACACTGCATAGGGACAGGATAGTCATTTTCCCATTTCCTGGTCAAAGAAACATTGTCTGATTTTCATTGGCAAAGGGAAATAAATAAGAAACAAGATTTCTGGAACCCCAAGTCCCAACGTATGTTTTTAAACTTTTATAGGGAGGAATTTATAAACTTTACAAATTAAAATAGAACCTTCACAGATTCAGGCCAAAGTACAAAAAACTTTTAGAAAATTACTTACTGGTAAGATAGAGAAAACTATTTTCAACAACCTAAGTGGAATTGTATAAATTTTCCTGCCTATTGAGTATCACCTCTAAGCTGCAGTTGCTTGTTTGTTCGTTTTGTTAGGAGCAGTAACACTATTTGACCTCTACTGCTGTAAAAGGCTGTGAGTAGACAGGTTTCCCACTCCAAAGTGAGAAACACCTGGTTGGGGTGATGATGAATAATATACTAAGGAAGAAATCTGAGATATTTAGAAAAGCCTTGCTATTATTGATGCTTTATTATTGGTGCTAAAATATATAAAAAAGGAAAAAGTTGGAACAACAACAAAAAGTTTAGGATTTCTTGTTCTTCACATGTATTGAATTGCTAGAAAAAGAAATTATTATAGAAAAACTATTGGGTGCAAGGTGCCTCAAAATCCTGACTTACCAAATGCAGTACAGGCATAAAAAACAAACAAAAATGCTAGGTCAGGCATGGTGGCTCATGTCTGTAATCTTAGCACTTTGGGAGGCTGAGGCGGGAGGATTGCTTGAGCCCAGGAGTTCGAGACCAGCCTAGGCAACATAGTGAGATCCTGCCTCTACAAAGAAACCAAAAAATTGGCCAAGTGTGGTGGCACATGCCTGTAGTCCCAGCTTTTGGGGAGGCTGATGTGGAAGGATCACCTTCTGAGCCCAGGAGATTGAGGCTGTGGTGAGCTGTGATCATGCCACGGCACTCCAGCCTGGGCAACAGAGTGAGACCCTGGCTCAAAAAAAAATGACAAAACTGAACCCCTTATTGATGAAGAGTTACATGAAAAAGAGAAGTTTCAAACACAGGGATTTGCCAACTGGAGTAAGAAAATGTAACCAGTTTATCAAAGCTAATGAGAAGTAGGGTTGTGAGGACATTGAAAATACAGCAAAAGAAAAAGAAAAAACTGCAGAGGAATACTCAGCTGTGTTCTGGGAAAGATGCAGTGAGCTCCAGGACAAAGAAAGACAAGATATGGCTTCAAATAAAGGAGATCGATGGCACAAAGCACCTTTTGTTTAAGCTGAGAGTATCATAGGATACTAACGAAGGAAACTACTGAAGATGAGGATCATTCTCTAACTGATGTGCTTGGATTTGACAAGGAAAGTGTTTATGATGAATTGCAATAGCGTATTCACAACTCTGCAGTTCAGATTTGATTGAAGCTTCAGGGGAAATATAATACCTTAATTACCTTGACTAATAGAGAAAACAGAACTAGAATAGAGCTGGGAAACAAGTAACTTTGAAGAATTTCCAGGCTGCAGGACTTGCAGGGGGGATAACACAGCCAGAGACCAGCTGAGCTTCTGGGGAGACCAGGGTTGCCCGGAATTCACAAGAGAAAGTACCACAGAGGAGGATGCTACACAGAGGGGGTCTGCAGAGAACAAGTAGGAGCATTCAGCCAAGTACTACTTGGCACGCTTATGAGGATACTATCTGACACATTGTACAGTGTGGATGAACTTCAACAAGATTGAGTTTTTTAGGAAACATTAAAAATTAAGGAAAACATTAAAAAATAGAGTATATATGGTATGATTCTATTTGTATAAACTTTAGGAAATGGAACTAATCCATAAAGACATGAAGATCAGTGATTGCTGGGAGTGGAGGTTAGAGGGCAACAGACAGGGAAGGGTGTGAGGGAGAGACTACAGCGGGGTGTCAAGAAACTTTGGGGAGTGATACGTAGGTTCACTATCTTGATTGAGGAGCTGGTCTCACAGATTTTTACATACATTTGAAATCTATTACGTTGCATACTTTAAATACATGTAGTTTATTTCATCAGTTATACTTCAATAAAGCTCTTTTAAAAACCTGCATTAAAAAAAATAATAATATAGATGAGTATCCCTAATCCAAAAATCCCAAATCTGAAACTTTTTGAGTGCCAACATGATGCTCAAAGGAAATGCTCGTTGGAGTATTTCGGATTTCAGATTTTTGGATTAGGGATACTCAACTGGTTTGTACTCTGCAAATATTCCACAATTCAAAAAAATCTTAAGTCTGAAATGATTTTGGTTCCAAACATTTTGGATAAGGGATATGCTTCCTGTACAAATAAAAAACAGAGTAGCCTCCCTCTCAGAGTTGTTCTGAGAAAATGAAAGGAGGGGAGCAAACCCGGGTAACCTCTCTGTAACTCTTTCCCAATTCAGACTATCTTTACTAAGATTTTTGGAGTTCTAAGGTGTTTTACAGTCTTAGAGATGTGTTGTTAGGATCTATGTGGTCAAATATTACTCTTGATATAACCTCATGCAAATTTGTGTTTCAGGACTCATGAATCAAGCAAGCAAAAATGAAAAATGGATTAAGGCTGATGCCCCAAAAGGCACTGTAAGTTTTAGAAGGCAAAGCTGGTTTCAGTCCCTGAAACTACAGAACTAAACCTGGCTTGAATTGTACTTAGGATTTTTACCGATGATTGGCAGATCTACTACTATACAAATGGAAAGACTGCTCATATGAATGGGAAAACAACAAATTGAGAATGAATATTGGTGAATAATTTTGGGGGGGCTTTTTCAGAATTTATACTTAGCCATTCATTTTCTATTGTTCTGTAATAAATTGCCACACATTTACCAGCATAAAATAATACCTACTTGTGAGCCCACGATTCTGTAGGTGAAGAGTCCAGCATAGCTAGGTTCTCTGTTCAGGGTATAGCAAGGCTGGAGCCAAGGCTTCGGCTAGGCTGAGTTCTCATCTGGAGGATCTGGGAAGAAATCTGCTTCTAAATTCATTTAGATTATTGACAAAATCCAGTTCCTTGTGACTGGGTGTGACTGAGGTCTCCATTTTTTTGCTGACTGTCAGCAATCACTCTTAAGCTTCTGGATGCTACCCCACATGCCTTCTCATGTGGCTCCCTGCATCTTCCAGTCAGCTGTGATGCATTGAGTCCTCATGTTTGACTATCTGACTGCTTCTGCAAGCAGCTGGAGAAATCTCTGCTTCTTAAGGGCTTACTTGATTGGGTCAGGCCCACCATTATCTTTGTTTCACCATATAATGTAACATAATTATGGGAATGTTATCTCATCCTATTCATGGTTTCCCCCTCCACTCAAAGGGAGGAGATTATACAAAAGCATCAGCCATGGCAGGCACTTATCTTAGACTTCTCTATGTTATAGCTCTCATGTGACAGGTTTTCTGCTTAGTACCCTTATGGCATCAATGTAAATTTAAGCTGTGAATAAAACACGTATATGTGAAGCAGTTGCTACTGATTCTTAATAATCTTTTGTGTAATTTAAGACATATCTTGTTAGGAGAGAAGAAACATTCAGCCTGATGTATGAAGATAGATTTTCACTTTTATAATGGTGTACTTTATAAAGTTACTTTATGAATTCCATTTCTTTCAAACCTTACTTGTCTGTATTCCTGGAACATTTAAATTATACAACATTGAATAGACCTATCTGTTGGATTATATTTTTTATTAGTATGATAAATCAATTCTTTTTTTAAATGAAGCTTACTTTTTTTTTTGCAAAGGTATGTTTTTATTTTTTTGCTTTATTTTATTTTAAAGATTTTAGCAGACCTTTCCAAATATTGTGATTTACAATAATCTAATTTTTGTTAATATTCCATTTATTTAGAGTTCTGTTTTTAACTTCTTATTCATGAAACAAAAAGCCATCTTTGTAGCATATCTCAAAGTCTTCTTTTAATCCATCCTTCATGAAAACATAATGTGTAGAAGTTTGAAAGATACATGTCGGTATATTTGATATGGTTGTGGTGTGTGTTATGCTATTAAGTAGAGGAAACTGTGAGGCAATGAGGCAATTTTTATCATATTTTTTCACCCTCATGCAATTATAGAAATACTTTCATTAATAAATAACATTGATGAAATTAGCCAACCACAGTCAGAAAGTTCATAAGCATAACAGCAGTCAACTATATATAAAATTATTGATGGAATTGTACATATTTGAATCCTATAGTAAACTTGGAGATTTCTCTGCCTGTCCACTTTACTTCTTGGTCTCCTTTCATAACTTACTTTTTGTAGCACCTACCCCTTTTCTTTTATTGTTGTAGCTGTAGATGTTTCCTCCCTAGAATGAATAAATGTCTTTCCTCTCCTTGTTTAAAAGAGGATGTTTTTCAAAGAGCTTTGGAGCAAGTTCTGATAATGAAGCAATCTGCTCGGTTTCTAGAGAACACAACAGGATGTGTTTCTTACCCTGGTCTTCCCACTGCAGGTGTTATTTCTTTCAGAAAGCAGTTGCCTCTTTTATAGGTCTCTCCAGTTGTGTGTATGAAGCACTTAGAGGTCAGACTTCTGAAACCAACTTTAATGCAGCTGCCAGAAATCTCCAAATTTAGTTTAAAAATTCTACTCTTAGAACAGTCATCGTAAGTTGACTCAGGTCTTAAAACTTTCTACTCAAATGATTCCCCTGCCTGTGTGTCTATTCCCTGGAACCTTCCCACAGCTAAGTGATACTACCTTATTTCAAAAACTTTAAAAATCAACTTGGGGCGGGGAAAGTTATTAAAAGTATTTAGCTAATACAGAGTACCTATAATAATATTTTTGTATAGCCCTTTAAAAGATTTTCAAAATAACTTTCATATTCTTTAAGTTTTATCCTTATTTTAAACTTGTGGGTTACAAAAAGATGAATTAACCCCATGTAACAGATAAGTAATTTAGGAAATAGAAAGGTTAAAAGACTGATGTAATATTACTGACACAGCTTGTTTGTGGCAGTTAAAAACAGTTGTACTTTCTTTGGATTCTGTCAACATCAGTGTTATATATCAAATAATGGTAAAATCCCTAGATGAAAGCTTATTAAAATTAATATGTAGGTAAGAAAATAATAATCAATACCTTCTAGCATAAAATTGAGGGAGCATCTTTTCTGGCATAGCATCATTTAAAAGTTCCTCCATGGTGCAAATTTGATTAAAGAGATCTTTCTGAGACATTGAAGGGACATCTTTTCTATTCATATGGTTCTCATTCCTATTTAATTTGCCTCTCACTGTTAAGTTAAATGTTGAGATAAATCCAGGTTTGATTGGCATGTAGTTAGTTCTCTTTTGTTGTTAAATGTCTGGAACTCACAAGAAAGCCCTGTTTCCTTTGAAAATATGTCTATGTTCTTTATAAAACAGTTTCACAGACACTTGAAGGAATCACCCTGGCTCAAATTCTTACTTTGACTTATGTGGCCATCTCTGATTTCTTTTTCCTTTCTGAAAAGCAACTTCTACACTCCTTGTCAAAAAAAAATCACATCTCTCAGAGTTGTCTCATATTTTAGATTTTATAATCTCATCAACACTACTGGTTTGATTAAGTTAAATTTAGGCAGAAATTTTACATTAAGCGGTACTTGATTTGGCTTCTTTTTTTTAATCATGATTGTTTAGACAGAAGAACTAATGATGTATTTAGAAACATTTGTACTAGGAATAAGAATCAGAAGATGATTTGTTGTTTGTTTACATTGAGATCCAGCTAGTAAAAATACTTGCATCAAATGAAGATAAGTCGCTGAGTTCTAGATTTTTTTCTTCTTCCTGCTTGAGGCTGAAGGTCATACTGCATGCTCTTCACTACTGTATGCTGTCCCTTTCATTGTCAATTCTAAGCTGTCTTTAGGTGGTATTACATCATCACACTCTGCAATAGGCTTGCCTTCAAAATCATAGCCAAACCAATGTGGAGGGTCACTACAGCTGTATTCCTGCTGCTGAACTTTAGACGACATTCTTTGAGCTGCCTCCCTATAATAACAGTGATGAGCATTAGCTAGTTGCTGAAGTAATCCCTAGTGCAAAATATTCAATCTAGACTAAATTTAGAGTGAGAGAACTCATTGACACAAGTCACATGCACTTCAAAGCTCTTTTACCTTGCTGAGAGGGAGGGTGTGGGTAAGTGTGCAAATAAACAGGATTCCAAAGCCTAAGTAAGTAGCTCTCTTGTTCAGCCAGGTTTAGAGATTCGCAGACACAGTGAATGGGTAAGGAAATGGCTCATGACCATGGAACAGAAACACTGAGATCACTCTACTTATACTGCTTTGAGTAAACTCTTTCCCTGGTATTTCTAGTTTCTGTAATGAGGGAATAGCCTACCCAGCCAGACTGTGAAGGTTGGCCATGCACTGGGGCAAGAAGTCTTAAGAGTTCACAGATCCCTTCTGAATACATGCATGTACTTCAGGGAGTCCATGAACTCTCTGAAAGTTCATGCAGTTTTGTCATAATACACATTTTTCTGAGGAGAAGCTTTGTCACTCAAACGTGTTCATGGCCAAATAGAAATACTGTTCTAGTCTTTCTTAGGAGAAAATAAGACAGGAAGCAAAGAAGGGATCAGAAAAAAGTATATCTAACTTGAAAATAAAGCCAATTTTGAGGACAGAAGGAAGAACTTCCTTTCCTAGGAAGTTGGTTCAAATCACAAGATGAATTCTAAAAAGGAAATAATTGACTACCTCTATAGTATAGAAATGAGTAACTAATGTTTACCCATGAAAGGCTACTTCCCCCCTTACTGTATGTTACCTTGAATGATTAATTACAAAACTCTGTCAACTGATTCATTGATATGGAGCTGGCACTAACCATACACTTGGAGTTAAGTTTGTGCTAAATGACCATATAAGTTCAGGTAAGGCAATGAGTTTGAAAAGAAAAAAAAAGAAAAACAAAAAAACAAAGATATATGAGCTTGAAATGTTATTTCACCAAAGAGCTGAGTACCATATGTTCTCACTCATAAGCGGACCCTGAACAGTGACCATAATACTATAAGAAAGGGACTGGCAGTAGCCAGAAACTGCCAGGGAGGGAGGGAGGCACATAACATTAATAAGGGTACTTGATCTCAAACCAGGAAAAGTGGGGACCAAAGGGGGCCCAAGCTTTACCTGTATGATGATCATTTATATACCTAATCCTGAATTGTACCCTACATCTTTAAAATAAAATAATTTTTTTTTTTTTTGAGTTGGAGTCTCACTCTGTCACCCAGACTGGAGTGCAGTGGCCGTTCCCGGCCACTGCAGCCTCGACCCGCTGGGCTCCGGCAATCCTTCCGCCTCAGCCTTCCATGTAGCCAGAATTACAGGCATGCACTACTACGCCCGGCTGATTTTTTTATTTATTGTAGAGATGAGGTCTCGCTGCCCAGGCGGGTCTCGAACCCGCATAAAATAAATTTTAAAAATAAAATGCTATTTCACTTAAATCAAAACTTATTAAATTATTAAAATAATTATGGGAGGCCAAGGCAGGAGGATTGCTTGAGGCTAGGAGTTTGAGACCAGCCTGGGCAACCTGTCTCTACAAAAAATAAAGAAATAATAATAAATTTACTGGGTGTGGTGGCGTGTGCTGATAGCCCTAGCTACTTGAGAGGCTGAGACTGATAATCACTTGAGCCCAGGAGTTGGAAATTGCAGTAAGCTATAATCAAGCCACTGCACTCCTGCCTGGGCAACAGAGTGAAATCCTGCCTCTAAAATAAACAAATAAATTAATAATTGTAACCAAACTCAATAGGGAGACAACCAAAGCATTGCTAATTCTGTCTCTTACCACATTGCATTTTGGCTTATTATATTTGCACTGACACAAAACTTCTACAAGTTCAAATAACAATTTGAGTAGAAGCAACTCATACCAATTTCTAGTTTGCAGCCACTAATCCCTGTGGTCAAACTTGTCAAACAAATTTCTTCTCTAGAGAAATATTTATTTGAATATTTGAAAATGTTAAGTTTATGGTCAATGATAATGTTTTGGGTTCTGTTAATTTCTTACTCTTGCATTCTGTTAATTTCTTACTCTTGTTTCAATGTGCTGTCCTGCATTTAAAGCCTCTTTTACAATTTTTATATGTCCTCTAAGTAGAACATTATTATGAAAAAGTAATGGGCTTATATATTTTGCCTTCCTCACATTCTTCTCCTAATAGTATTACTGTCTTTTCAATTCTATGAAATTGAGATGATCATATCTTTCAAGATGTTTTCTAAAAAGTTTTCCCCCCAAGGATTTATTGAAATATAATACCAAATGTTGAAGGAATCTGAGATATAAAATGTTAGGACTATCAGCTCCATATGGGTAAAACACTGTCCTAGGCAACAGAGCTCCATTGTTACTTACCCTTCACCCTATCTCTACCTGTCTAAACATTATTCATCTTTAAAAATTTCAAACCAGTCCAGCTATAAGTTTGGTAAAAGCTCAAGCCCAATCTCTTCCTCCTCTGAATATCTATAGGAAATTGATCATAGATTTAATTTCTTTCTTTTTTTGATTTAATTTCTTTCTAATACATAACTTCATGGCATTAATTATTTATAATTTTAAACTTTTTATTTTCCTTTTGTTTAAGTAGGTTGTAAGCTATTTAAGGGCATATTGCATTTCCTTATATTTCCCTGAAATGTATCATTAATAGCCAAAACAGAAGGTTTCGGCAGCTTATACCAAGAAGGGAAGTCCCTTAACTCTTGGCTTCTGCTGGTTTTCTGATCTAGAAGAGGCATTCTAACATTCCTCTTTCTAATACCCTCCTGCCCTCTGCCTCTCAAACAGCAGAACTCTGGACACAAACTGCAGTTCACAATTGTTTGTAATCATTCAATACCACTGACATTGACTGTAGTACAAGATCTTGAAGTATAGGAAAAGGAAATGTTTGTTTTAGAGAGAAAAAGATTTGTAAGTCCTAGTTGACCAAATTATATCTTATCTTTAACTTCAGAAAAGCAACAGTTTTGAGAGTTCTAGATAGCTGGTAAGAGGCTAGGTACTCTGAATGCTAAGTTTGAAAATGTGTAAATATTGAGTCATTTAGTTCCTCTCAGCTACAAACCAGGGTAAATTAGGTGGTAATTGTGATACAAAAATGATAAACGGAATGAAACGCACTTGTATACCTAACCCTTAACTGTACCCCACAACACCATAATAAAAAATATTGATTAATAAAAAAATAAATAAAAAGATAAACGAATAGTAGGAATTTGAGGAAAAAATTAAGAGTTCTACAAAATGTTACAAGGAGGAGCTGATACCAAACCTATTGAAAGTATTTCAGACAATTGAGAAAGATGGAATTCTACCCAAGTCATTTTATGAAGCTAACATCACACGATACCCAAACTGGGTAAAGATCCAACAAAAAAAGAGAACTACAGGCCAATATCCCTTATGAACATAGATGGAAAAATCCTCAACAAGATTCTAGCAAATCAGATCCAAAAACACATCTCAAAAATCATCCACCATGGCCAAGTAGGCTTCATCCCCAGGATGCAGGGCTGGTTTGACATTTGCAAGACTACAAACATCATTAAACAGATGTAAAAACAAGAACCACATGATTGTACCATTAGATGCAGAAAAAGCTTTTAATAAAATCCCTTCTTGATAAAAACCCTCAAACACCTAGGTATAGAAAGAATATACCTCAAAATAGTAAGTGCCATCTACGGTAAACCCACAGCTAACATATTGCTAAATGGACAGAAATGGGAAACATTTCCGCTAAAAACTGAAACAACACAAGGCTATGGACTCTCACCCTTCTTGTTCAACATTGAGTTGGAAGTCGTAACTAGGGCAATTAGATAAGAGACGGAAATCTGGGGTATCTGAATAGGAAAAGAGGAAGTCAAGCTATCCCTGTTTGCTGATGATATGATTCTATAACTTGAAAATCCAAGACAATCTGTCAAAAACCTGCTTGCACTGATAAAGAACTTTGACAAAGTCTTGGGGTACAAAGTAAGTTAGAAAAAGACAGTTACATATCCCTACACCAACAACACACAGGCAGAGACCCAAATTAAAGCACAATCCCATTCATAATAGCCACAAAAAAATGAAATACCTTGGCATCTTCCAAACCAGAGAAGTGAAAGATCTTTACAATGAGAACTCCAAAGAAATCCAAGAAGACACAAACAAATGGAAAGATATCCATGCTCATGGATAGGAAGAATCAACATTGTTAAAATGTACATCCTACCAAAGGCAATCTACACATTCAATGCAATACCCATTAAGTTACCAACATCATTCTTCTCAGACCTGG